AAGAACTGAGATTCTAAGGAAAAAAAGTCTTTGTGATATTACAGTTAGTGATTTTGTAATATTACAGTTAGTGATAACTAACAAGGGAAATTAACAAGGGAAAGCAGAAGTGATGCTTTTGCGTTACAGATTTGAGAGACAAAATATAATCTTGGAAAATAAAGCCTTGCCTGGTCAGAGGTTCTGACCAGGTTTTGAAGTTCTTTGATAGAGAGTTGCCAAGAGCAGAGCAAAGGCTATGGAATTACAGAGAGAGAATGCTTCCACTGGGAGGTCGGCAAACAGCTGTCACTCCAAGCAACTCACTCCCACACCCTCTTAGCATTTGTGGTAGGCATAATAATGGCACCCCAAAGACATCCATATTCTAATTCCAGGAATCTGTGAATATGTAACTTTACATGGCAAAAGGAATTTTGCTGATGTGATTAAATTAAGGACCCTGAGATGGATTATGCAGTAGGACCCAATGTAATCACAAGGATCCTTATAAGAGAAAAAGGAGATTTAGAGTGATTTAGAGTGATTCAATGTGAAAAAGACTCAATTGGACCTTGTTGGCTTTGAGGATGCAAGGAAAGGAACGTGGGCAGTCTCTAAAAGCAGGAAAAGAGAGAGAGGGAAAAAAAGGATTCTCCCCTAGAGCCTCCAGAAAGGAATAGACGTCTCCCTGCAGACACCTTGTTTTAAACCCAGTGAGACCCATGTTGGACTTCTGACCTCAGAACTGCAGTATAATACATGTGTGTTGTTTTAAGCCACTAAGTTTGTAATAATTTGGTAAAGGAGCAATAGAAAATTAATACAGCATTTATGATGTTTCCCCCTCTGTAAGCCATGTTGAGTACTTTCATTAAGTGGCCCAGTCTTTTCCGGTTTAAATAGCATACAGTAGGTTTCTTTTGTTAGTAGAGGCTAGGGTCTTGGATCTGTTTAGAGGCAAGCTTATTAGTACATGGGTGTGACCATACTACTGAAATGCATGACGATTCCAAAGAAAACAAGCTGGTAATGAACACTAGGTAAAGGATATATGCAAGCTAAAATGCAAAAGGAGCAGAGATGTTAGAAGATTTTTCAGCTGGGGGATTTTCTCAGTCGTTCTGTTTTTCATTAATTAATCTAACAGGTACTGACAGCTAATCTCCTTAAAGCAGCCCCATGGCCAAAAAGCCAAGGGAATGAGTATGTCATTTGAGGACTGAACACGCACTTAATTATTGGGCAGGAGACTGAGATGTCTCGATTCCTAAAGATGTTCCCCACATATAGACGGAAACTTAAAATTTGAGTCACCTACGCCCATGTGGGTTTAGGTGTTAGAGAGAACAGCAAAGAACAGCTCCAGGCAAGAATGTCCAGGCATTAAGAATCTGTTTGCTAAGGGTTTTGTGATAAGATTATGTATGTCATCTTGGCATGATAGGTAAATCGTGCAAAATTTGTAAAATTTTTGCAGAAAAATAGCCTTGGAATTCAAGATTCTCTATTGCTTTTCTCATGTAAAGCATCACATTCCTTCCTCCTGGAACTATGAGGATACTGGGGTGGAGGTGGGTAGTGCCATTCATCCAGTACTTTTTGAGCAAAACGAAGATTCTTATTTCACACAGCCCAGAGAGAGGGCTACCCATTCATACAGCCTTTGTATATGAAGCAAAAGTGCTTTCTGAGCAAAGCAAAGGTTGTTATTTCAGGAGGGGGGAATAGATATTCTTTGCTTTCCCCTTTCAACTAATGACCAATTACACCATCACAAACTGTTTATTGAACATCTTTGTTGTTTGTATTAAGTATTAAGCTTAAAATGGGAGAAAGTGACATTCTGTTACCCGGGAAATGACGTTTTATTAACTTTGCCATTGTTACTATACATCGCCAGGAACCCATTCATAGGTTAGGTTATTGTGAAGAGAAGCAAATCAAGATAAATATACAGCTCACGGAGATGAAAAATATACTTCTACATGGATTAGCTAGTACTTGAAAAAAAGGGAAGTTTGGCATATAAATTTTACATGATTGTCTAAATTTTCTGTTGTTCTCCAAAGCAGCCTTGACTCAAACAAACCAAAGCAAACAAAACCAAACCAAACAAAATAAAGCTGCCTAAAAACTGGGTGATTGTCTATGATGATCTGCCCCAAAGTGAAGTTTCTTTTATTGTTTGTTTCTGAGAAGCATGTAATTGTTGGTGGGTTGACTAATGAGAAATAAAAGATTATTCTCAACCCCAAATTTAACTACATTGTCATACATGTGAAAGGGACAACTTTATGAAATCACTGGGTTTTAGTAGAAAGAACTATTTCAAGATGGTGGAAAATTTCCCTAAGAAATTTTAATTTTTTCTCACTGTTGTAAAGTACTGGATTCATGAAAGACAAAAGAATATTCTTTGTAATCTTATTAGTCTTACTGTGGTAGTCTCCTGGGAAGTAACTGTGATAATTCTATCAGGAATGGTACAGAGAAATGGCCTGTGTTGCTTTACAGTTGGAAAAAACCAAAATCATGCTCTCTGGCATTATACAGGATCACAAGAAAAGTAATGGTAGTCTAACTTCTATGTAAAAGTAACATCAGTAACTGTAAGTTTGCTTACACATTTGTGAGCAATGAGTAGTGATTATCACCTAAAATAAACTTTTCTTTTGGTCATTTACCCAACACAGAATTGACCTTACTTAACAGACTTACCTTACTTACCAGATTTTTATTATTGGCTACTAGACAGCTACATGAAGATAATTATTTGTCTGCTCACACTCAATAATTTCAAGAACTAATTCATTTGTCTCCTTTGCTTTTTTACAAACTCTAAACACACACACACTCTCTCTCTCTCTCTCTCTCTCTCTCTCTCTCTTTCTCAGTTCCACCTCTTCCCTTTCCTTTTCTGTTCACATCACCATTTTTGAGGTCACCAAGTTCAAAACTTTTGTATTATTTTGGACCAATCATGTTTTCCTGCCCATTCAGAAATGTTATGTTTTCAGAAGATGATGGAAAGAAAAAGAGAAAGAAAAGAAAAGTAAGAATGAAAACAAATGGAAGTCAAATGTGTAGGACTATTCCCCTTCCTCACAAAATATCAACCAGAATTTGTTAATTGTAGAAATAAAAAGTGTCGCTGTCTTCTATGATTTTCTCTTCTTTCTCTTTTCTTTGTCCCAGCTTTTTGTATAACCTGAAGTTTGGTCTAAATGAACCAGTATTTGCTTAGCCCTGAGCACTTAAGCTTCAGCATAATCGACACTTGGTTTTACTAGCTGTTGAAGTATATGAAGCCAAATTATCTGGCTGTTAAACTTTTCTAAATCAATTGTTATAGTTTGCATACTTGACCCTGCAAACCTCATGTTGAAATCTGATCCCCAGTGTTAGAGGTAGGGCTTAATGGGAGGTGTTTAAGGGGGAAGATCCATCGGGAATTGATTAATGCCCTTGGTGCGAGTGCGTTCTCTCTCTGTTAGTTCCCATGAGAGCTGGTAAAGCAGCCTGGCAGCACCCTCTTTTGTTTTCCCGTCTCGCCATCTGATCTCTGCACACACTGGCTCCCCTTTGCCTTCTGCTATGAGTGGAGGCAGCTTGAGGCCCTCACCAGAAGCAGATGTTGGCACTGTGCTTGTATAGCCTTCAGAAGCCAAATAAACCTCTTTCCTTTATGAATTACCCAGCCTCAGGTATCTTTTATAAGCAATACAAATGGAAAAGAAATGAGTCAAAAATCCAGTCATTGAAAATATGCCACTGAACATTCAGGGGAATTAATTCAATTGGCCATCTGTCATGAAGACATCATCAGTCAATGGCAATCCTGATGCGTACAGGACTCAACATAGGCTCAGGTATTTATTTCATAAGTGAGAAAAAACTTGGGCAGAGAAATAAGCTGACTCTTTTTGCTTCAAGAATCGGATATTGGCATTGAATGACTCTATTTCCCAGAAAATCCAAGACATGCTTAATGAACAAGGGTAATAATTTTGCATGTCTCTTTCCAGTAGAATTTACCTCGGGCTTGAGAAGACTGCATTATAAGACTTTTGCCCAAGAGGGACTTTTAAAAATGAATTTAAATACTTTATACTTTTCTGCTTGCACTTTCCAAAAGAAAAGGGTATTGACAATAAGCACAGATTAAGTGAATGCAGCTGATGACAATAGCGCCTTTCAAGTCAAGACACTGGGGCATCAGTAATGACAGGAAGAACATTTGGCAAAGGTCAGGGCACCAGGGTTTCGTCCTAGTCTGCTCTTAAAAAACTGTATGAACTTATGGAAGGAAGTCAGCTTTCCTCTCTGAGCTTCAGTTTCCTAATTGGAAAAGAAAAATATCCGGATAAAGTAGAATCAAACAGACTTCTGCCTTTGATTTTTTTTCTGTGGAGCATTTACGAGTTCCACGGGCTAATAATTATGTGCAATAAGATTAACTGATTTGTGATCTTCTCTCCTGGACAGAACAAATACCTTTACCTACTTTTGCAAAGGGGCCACTGACACTGAAGGCTTTTTGTGTGTTTTATAAATTACAAGAATTAATCTGGAGGATTATGCAAAATAAAGTGGTCAAAAACTTGAAACATGAACAAAAACATAAAAATATAAACATAAAACTAAAGGAAACATTTCTATAAAACATAAAATGACAGGAAAAAATGAGTGAGAGTTTTAATCAAAGTGTAAAATAGCAATCAAAGCCAGCTCTTTTTCTTTCTGACCCCTATCCTTCAGCCATCTGAAATGGAGGGAACTCCCACATTACCCTTTCACCCTAGCAAATTCCCATTACACAAAACATAAACTGCAGCTTTGTATTCACTTCAATAAATTAGGCACTGTCTTCAGAAACCAAAGACATTTCATTCTTCGTCTCTAGCTCACGCCTCTTGCTTTATAGTGTCTCTTGTTTTATAATTTCTCACAATATCTTAGACTGACATTTATGAGGTACTGAATTTACAATAGAAGAAGAGGAATTGAAAAAACATCACCTTAAAAATTCTCTCTGTCGTCAGTCAGTTCATTCAGTAAATTAACATTTATTCAGCCCCTGGTATATACAAGATGCTGTGGTAGTTGTGAAAGATAAAGAGAAATTTATAGTCTAGAAGGGCAGAACGACACGACACAGTTACTGTAAGCATGGATCACTTGCATGATGCTGATAGTGTTTGAGGCATCGTGGGAGTATAACACAGAAAGTGCTACTTAATGAGTGACCATAATTGGACAATTTCAGTCTCTTAAATGGGCAGATGGCCTGTGAAGTGCTATAAAAAGAGAAGAGATTGTCCTTCTCATTAATGAGTGGAAAGGGCCTTGCGTGGGTGCCAGACTTCTTTCTTTGATTTTATCACCATTGTTTGATTTAATTAGCTTTTAAGTTATCTTAGCAAACAAAAAGCAGAAATGTCCAATTTAATGTCCAATTGCAAGAAAATGCCCTGACGCATTTTAAAACAGTATCAACATTTCTGTATTTTGGAAACAACAAACAAAATACATTGTTGCCATTCCCTTATTTATAACTTCAAATGACTCACTAAATGTCATTAAAAATAAAATTTAATTTATGTCATTTTTTGAACTCCCTATGACGACTCACCTCGGTCCTGATTCCGGTGACGTTTCCAGTACAGTAAGATTGAGATTAGGACCAGGAGAATTACCAGGGAAACAATGCTTAACAATAGTGGAACTGAAAACCAATAGCCTACAGATATAGAAGAAAGAAAAAGGAAAATGATGTCACAGAGGAAATTGTTGAGGCAAAAAGTGATAAAGCAATAGAGTCGAGCTTTTAGTTAAAATTATCCTTAAATACATACATGTGTAGGTTCATACGCATGACTTCATATTATTTTAATAATATTTAGATATTAGTAATAGCTAACATGTTTTATCTGGCTACTATGTAATAAGAGCTTTAAACTTATTTAATCCTCAGAACATCCCAAGAGTTATTATTTTCTAACAGATTTAAAGAAAACTGAGGCTTTGAGACTTTAACTGAGATCAAAATCAGAATAACAAATGGGATAGCCAAGGCTTGGTTGAAAGTCTGTTTGCCTCTAAAGCACATATTCTTTGCCATACTGTCTCTTAAAAGAATATATGTTTATTGAGGAAATTGTGGAAAATACAGAGAAGTATAAAGAAAAAAACATGAATCTCATGATTTCAACCCCCAGAGATAACTCATCTCTAAGTTTTTATTAAATTTCTTCTTATCTATGTCTTTAATGCAACTCAGCCTAAATATCAGTTCCTCAGTGTCATGTTGCAATGCAAAGGCAAATTGAGGAACTCCTTGATTTGGGAGTCTCTAGCATCTTCTCCATACCTCCATAATGGGATTCGTCACATCATTATTTAACTGAACACTTCAGACCTCAGACAGGGATTTGTCTGATTTCTACAGTTTCAGTGCTTGACATAATGCTTTGAGCATGGAAGATTTTTCGTCAACGTTCACAGAATAAACAAACATTATAGAAGCGGTATATAAACACTGTAAGTGATACAAGTCAAATCTGGCATTCTTGGAAAAAAAAAAAAGACATTCTTTTTTAGGTTCTTGTTTCTCCGGGAAATATACTCTTGGCCATGGCTGAATCTGAAGATCTCTTCACAAATATCCAAATCCAACACTGCAAGTCTTTTTGACCAAATTTACCTAAATATCCAATTTCTGATTAGTCTGAGTTTTCAGGGACTCCAAAGGCCACTGCACTAAAGAGGTGGGTGTAGAAAGCTTTTCCAGTTTATTGCTCATAATTTCTCCAAAAAAGAGGAGTAATATTTTTTAGGAGGCTTATTACTGACTGCTTCATCCAGAGTCAGTGCTTCAAAACTACACAGAGAAAAGACATGGCTACCATTGCTAAAACTTTTTGTCTTTATAATCTCTGCTCCCTTTATTCTCTCCTCTATCATTCTCACCTCTTGTATCTATGAGGCCCAGAGACAGTAGTTTAGACAAAAACACAAGAAAGCAAAAGGGGACTCGGATAGGAGGTAGTTTGCTAAATGGGTGATGAAAGCACTTCAGAGAGGTCCCTTTTTCACAGTGTAGATTATACAGTGATTTCATCACAGATGTCACTTCTTCCAGGAAACCTTCCAAATCTCCCCCAGATTGAGCCCCTCCTTCCCAACCTCTAGTCCTCCCATGGTGCATCACAGCTTTCTCACTGGAGAATGTAATGCACAGTTTTACAATTGCCCATCCATTTATCTCTATTCCCTCGTAGACTAGAAGCTTAGGGACTGAGTCTTATTCATCGTTGCATTTTTCATGTTCAACACAAAGTCTGGCCCAGAATAGACTTAATTACATGTTAGTAGAATGGAAGAAATAAATAAATGAATGGATCTCAGCAACAGTATTTGGTATGTGGGCAATGAACCACATTTATGAAAGCAAAACTTGCCTTGTTTCCTCAACTGTTTTTCTTTTTTCCTTATTTGCCCCATTCTTTCTCCAAATAGCTCTTGTGCTAAGAGGCTGAAACCTCTGCAGGACATTCACTGCCTTCCAGGTGTGTGCACACAGACACAACCACAGCCACCTTGCTCACTTTCTCTTACCTTTGTCGAAGGTTTGCTTAAAGTCAGTCACAGTCCCCAGGTGCAGCACCTGGCAGATCACCTCCTTCCCCACCTGATTCTTAGGGTCTTTGACATGGAGGATGCTGGTAACAGACGTAGTCCCATTTGGGTGAGACAGAGTCACTGTACTATTTTCAAACCCTGACCGAGGGACCTTCCAGAAGATCATGGGGGCTGGGCGGGCAGTGGCAGAGCAAGTGATGTTTAGGTGGTCTTCAGAGTATTTGTAGTGAAGGGATACTATGGGCTGTACTGGGACAAAAAACAAATACAATCTGTTATTAGTTAAGCACCTGGTCTGAGCACTGCAGTCTCCTCAGAAAGATGAGGGAAATATGCTTATAGAAAGATAATGGAGGCTGGAAAGATAGTGTGGCATATCCTACCCAAATTGGGGACTTTCCAGTTCCTCTTGTGTCTAATTTTCTGATCTGCAGGATGGAGACTGGCCTAGTACAAACCTGTGATGAGAAAGACCCTTTCTATAATTTTTCTGTAGCAGAATTAGTCAGATGGACATAGAGTATTGAGAAGTCAGATGATACTTTTCTCTCCCAAACAGTCCTAATTATTCTGGTCTCTTCCAGGGGCAATGCAGCATCTCTGCTTTCTTTTAGGTATTCCTCTTAAGTGGCTTGACAATAGCCCCCAATCAGCACCGCCATACATGTGTCCTGTACCTATTAGAGGCACTAGGGCAGTTTCGGAACAGAGAGCCCATAGAAAGGCTACTGCTTAGAGATAGCCATTTTCTTCTTGGAGTTGGACCGATGAATTAGATGCATGGAGGAGAGCTGGAAAATCCCTTTTTGGAAGAGCTACACAAAATGCGAATTTGGAATTCATAGCTAAGAACCATAAAAATTTAGAAATGACTGTTGGAAGAGCATTGGAAATCACCTGATTAAGTTAAGAAAAAATAACTAGCTCATGAGAAAACTGTTTTCAGGCCAGCTGTAGCCTGTACTCTTTTGAAAATCCCCTGACCAGTGAGTTCATTTTTGTTAGAATATAGAATTTTTCTTTTGTAAACAAATGTAAACTTGTCTTTCTGTGGTTGGCTTTGGAGCCGAGAAGATAATTAAATGGCAGTGCTAACTGAAAGCCTGGGCTGTGCTTATAGGTTCAAGAGGCAGGGAGATGACAGTGGGTTGGGGGAAGTAGGGCTGTGGAACTGTGGCTCTGGCTGAGATCACTAATGTCTGTGAGCACTGGAGGAAGGGAAATAAAAGTGAAAAAATATGAATATGGCTGATGGGCCAGATTGAGTTTTGAGGTCCTATGGTGTATCAAAGAATGGCTTACATGAAAGGTATAAGGTGTGGCTGGAAAGGTCAGTGTGGAAGAGAACAGAATTACTAGCTTTAAAGCTCAGAGGCGTCTGGTTTTCAGGAAAAAAAAATACAAAAGTCTATGAGTGAAGGAAGGAGACTAAGAGAAAGAAAGATGAAAGGAAAAGAGGAAGAGAAGAAAAGGGAACAGAATGATAAAAATATGACATAAGAAAAAAAAGAAGAAAAATTAGATAGGAGGAAGGAAAGAAGAAAGGGAGGCAGAGAGGGAGGAAAGGAAGGAAGGAGACAGGGAGGAGAGACAGAAAAAGAGAGAATGAAAGAAGTGGAAATCAAGAAAGCAACGACATAAGATTCTACAGAGAGGACTCATTATAGGCAAAATAAGTAAAAGAGATTTCTTTTAGCATTCCTGTCTCCCTTGCATTCTCATCTACTAAGCTTTTTCTTCCCTGTGGACAATATTCTTGGCATGATTAAACTCTCACTTTAATATTCCTAATAACCGTAAGTTTGTCCTCTACTCCCTAAAACTACTGCCATGTGTGCCATGCTCCAAAGTAATCTCTTATTTCCACTTCCTAATCTTTCACCTCAGCTGTGTGTAAGTTAAGAAGAAAGGAATCTCATCAAACTAAGCCTCTTGGATTTTAAAAGAATGCTATTGCCAAGTTATATCTTTAGTTGGCATCATTTTAGGTATGAAAAGACTCTGCTCCATGTACCTTTATCAATCCTGAAAGAGCTATCCTCCCAAGCAAAATGAGAAGGACAATCATAACTGCCTCAAGGCTAGTCCAATCTGTCTCTGTCCTTAGATCCAAAAAGTTGAAGTTGTAAGTGACCCTAGAAATGATCTATTTCACACTTATTGTCTGGACAATGAAACTCCAGAGGAGAGTGGATTGGACCCTTCTAGGGTCACATGATTGCTAGTGGCAAGCTAAGTCTGAATCATATCACTGCTTACGGAGAACTTGTTGCCCTCATCATTGTTCTCAAATTTCTCCTTTGACAGCAGGATCCCTCAGAGAAAAGATAGCTCCAGCTGAAGAACTCAGTGTAACCCCATGAACTCTCCAAATAACCATAAACACAGCTATACTAGACATGAAAGGCTATCTTCTCATGACCTTTTCTGTGGTTAAAATCCTGAAAAATTGGGCACTATGGCTATGTTCCAAACATTCTTGGAAATAGTATTTCCAGACACAGACAATGATTCTCAGAGACTCTCACCATAGACCGTGAGGCAGGCTGTTCCTGAGATCTTCCCAGAACCAAAGGTATTGAAGAGACACATGTAACACCCTTCATCCTCCAGGGTGATATTCCAGAAGGTGATGGTTGTGTTTTGGAGTCCCAGCTGGGTAATGTTTATCTTGTCCTTATAGGCAGGCTGGATCACCACCCCATGGTTCTCGCTGAAGGTGACCATGTTTTCTGGGCTTACAGCTTTCTTTTTCTGCCATGTCACAATCAGGACTTCCTGGGCATTTTGCAGAGAGCATCTTAAGGAAGCAGGAGTGTACAGCTGCTCTCTTTCATCCTGGGTCACCACTTGCACTATGGAATCATAAAAGAACATTTATATTTAAAGAGTGTAATACGCATACACTTTTTCCTGATTATAAATAAAAAGTATATTCAATGTCAAATATAGAAAAGATAGAGAAAATGCAAAGAAGAAAACATCTATTTACATTCTTACATGATGCCAGAGAAATACATAGGTTCAAATATGCTTGTTCAATCTTTAAAGAATAGTAGCAGAGTGGAAAAACAAGAAAGCAACTCTCAGTTACAAGAAATTGTGAATAATCTCTGTAAATTGCGAAGTAAGTACAATGAGATTGAAGATGTAAACTGCCAGGTAGGATAGCAGCTTCAACAATCTCGTCCATGCTTGCAGAAGTAGAAGCAAAGAGCAGGAAAAGGCCAAAGGATAACAGGCAGAGTGACCACTTTAAGTAAAGAAGATGGAGCAGCCCTATGCATTCCACACAAACACACACACATAACACATTCTACAAAGGAAGTGGGTGGAACAGAGGTGTCTGCCTCCAGGAAGTAAGAGTGTATATAGGAACATAGGTAAAGAGACGTATGGGACAATGTTCTGGAGGATCTTGAAGCTTTGGCACACAAATAATAATTTACACACCCTCTGCTTTCACTAAATGCTATGGTGATAATTTCTTCCCCTCCTCAATATTAGCAACTCATATGATAATATATTATTTGATGGAAAATCTCAACATAAAAACAAATAGCCAAACTTTTGAGAAAGACAATACAAGGAAAGAGAAATAATAAACTTTACAAACCCAATAACTCATACAAAATGAATAAAGATATCATAAGAAAATAATTTGACATGAATACATGTGATATCGTAAGTGTAATAAAAGTGTAATAAAAGCATTATGAATAGTAGAAATTAGAGATATAGAAAATGAGAAATATAAAATTGCAACAGCTTGGCTGACTTAGCAAAACGGATGAAGAGTTTTCTACTCTTCAGTAGAAGAGTAAATTAGTAAACAGTAAGAACAGGCTGTGAAATTCTTCTAGAATGTAGCACAAAGAGATAACAATATGGAAGGGATTAAGGAAAAATTCAATGAGTAGACTTAAATGTTCCAAAATCAGTTCAATAAGACTTCTAAAAGGAGAGAAAAAAAAGGGAAGACAAAAGCACTGCAAGAGGGAAAAAAAGTGTTTTTCAAAATTTTGAAAGGAACAATCTAAAATCAGATCTATTACATTAATCATAAATCTTTATGTACCTAACAACATAACTCTGAAATATATAAAGCAAAACTAATAGAATTACAAAGAAAAAAATTTAAATCCACAATCATACTGAGAACCTTCAATTTAATATATTTAAACAATTATTAAAGCAAAAAAGTTAAATAGGAAATTTGAAAAACTGCCAGGTACAGTGGCTGATGCCTGTAATCCCGGTGCTTTGGGAAGCCAACGCAGAAGACTCACTTGAGGCCAGGAGTTCAAGATCAGCCTGGGCAAGAGATGAGACCCTTATCTCTATAAGAAATGTAAAAATAAGCAAGCCATAGTGGCATGTACTTGTAGTCCCAGCTACTCAGGAGCATAGGACAGGAAGATTGTTTAAGGCCAGGAGTTCAAGGTTGTAATGAGCAAAGATCACACTACTGTACTCCAGCCTGGGTGACAACGTAAGTCCATGTCACAAAGAAAATAAAAGTTGAAAAGCAATATATATTTATATATACACTTTAGGTATTTAATATTATCAATGTTTTATATGTTTATATTATATATACTATATACTTTATATGTATGTAGATCTCTGGGGGGGGGGTGTGTGTGTATAAACATAAATTTCTTCCCTTCTCCAATATTAGCAACTCATACTATGATAGATTATTTGATGGAAAATCTCAACATAATAACAAATAGGCAAACTTCTGAGAAAGTCAATACAATGAAAGAGAAATAATAAACTTTACAAACCCAGTAACTCATACTAAATGAATAAAAATAAGACACACACAGACACACACACACTTTACTCAAAGAAAGGATGTATAATCTTTTCAAAAAAACATAAAACATTCCTCCAAATTGAACTCAAAATAGGCTACAAAAAAGTTGCTACCCTATGTATGGCCTTGAACACTGTTCATAATACAATAAAATTAGAAATTTACATACTTCTTTTAAGTCTTAGGTACACCAGAAAGCATAGAAAAAATCATAAATTATTATAACTGAATGACAATGAAAACATAATATGTTAAAATTCTACAGAAATGGGTAAGACAGGCAGGGCGCAGTGGCTCACGCCTGTAATCCCAGCACTTTGGGAGGCTGAGGTGAGTGGATCACTTGAGGTCAGAAGTTTGAGACCAACCTGGTCAACAAAGTGAAACTCTGTTTCTACTAAAAATACATAAATTGGCCAGGTGTGGTGGCGGGCATCTGTAATCCCAGCTATTCAGGAGGCTGAGGCAGGAGAATTGCTTGAACCCGAGAGGCAGAGGTTGTAGTGAGCTGAGATTGTGCCACTGCACTCCAGCCTGGGTGACAGTGTGAAATTTTGTAGAAAGAAAGAAACAAAGAAAGAGAAAGAGAGAGAGAGAGAGAGAGAAAGGGAGCGAGGGAGGAAGGGAGGGAGGGAGAGAGGGAAGGAAGGAAGGAAGGAAGGAAGGAAGGAAGGAAGGAAGGAAGGAAGGAAGGAAGGAAGGAGACAGTTCTCAGAGAAACATATTTAATTCTAGCAACATTTAATAGAAAAGAAGAGATATTGAAAAATGAATACACTTACTTCCAAACCTCCTACCCTCCCTTTCAAATATTGCAGTTAATTAATAAAGATAAAGACTCTAACTAATAAAATGTTACACAAAATATAAACTTGATTACAAGCATCCAAACTTGTTTTTAAAGACTGATAATATGGATAAAATGTTGCCAAGTATAAGCAGAAAAAAAAAAGACTGAGCAAACAAACAACTCCCCAATAATATCAGGGAATGAAAGATGGGTATAACAAATACAGGCTGGACCCCTGAGTATTGCATAATTCAAAACTAAAAATGATGTGTACTCTTGGAAGATGTGAAAAGTTCTGGGAAACTATCTGTTGCTAGGATTGAGGTTTCTTCAAAGTTTGTTGAGATTTTGCAGACCAGAGATTTGAAGAAATTATTACTTTTAGAAGGCAGAGTGAAAGGGGACTCAAAGCTAGAGTTCAACTCTTAGATGAGTTCTTTTTCTTTTTGATTATGGAAGAAATCACTTAGAGGAAGTTTACAATTCTTTGCTACTTCTATGGAATCTAATTTAGATTCCTCTGGTCAGTTGATAAGTCCCGTGATGAACGTTGTGGACCAGAGTTGGAGATGGGCATGAGCCCACCTGATCTTCACCAGCATCACCAGCATCAGCCACATCTGTGGAGGCTGATGCTGAGCAACATCACACTGCAAGTGATGAAAAGGCCAGTCGTAAAGTGAGTGTGGCCTCCCGAGGAACCGAGGAGGAAGAGCTAGGAACTTTGGTAGATAAGTAGATGGCACAGCCAAATTTGTTATACAACAGGTAATATGAGCCTATATAACTTCTATATTTCATTGTTTTCTGCATTTTTCTGTAAAAAGGTAACACACCCAATTGTAAGGTTTACTGCCAGATTACTTTCCAAAAAGATTGAATTCAAGCATTCCTATATCTTTAAAAACACAGGAAATCATTTTTTGTAATTCAGTTCAGTAAGTGGAAAATGACATTTTAAAATAGAGGATATTTTTCATAAGTCTGTTTCATCTACTGTGGAAATGGCTTCTAAATATCAAAGCGTGCTTCAACACTGAAAACAAAAATGTGGAAAGCAGAAAGAACCACTCTCACTCCTCCAGGCAGACTACATGTTTAAATAATTCATGCAGACAAATGGAACCAGCACAGCACAAACAATAGTGGCTAAATGTCTTCACCCCAGAAATTGTGTCTGCTGGGCTCCAAGCAGGGGAACTGAGCTTCTTTACCTTGTGCTGCGCACAGCACCACTGCTGCCATGCCCCAAACCAGGCTGTAGGTAGACAGATGACAGAAGGGCATCCTGATCACCTGAAGACAGAAAGCAAAGTACAGAAATGGGGGTTTGGATTTGGACAAAGCCAAGAAAGCTTCAAGCTAATCGCTATTTCAGGGAATGGTGTAGCTAAGTTTTTACCCCCCAGAGAACTTTGGTTTTGTGGGAGCAGAACTAGAGGTTATAAATGGAGGAAATAACAAAGCATGCTCAAGATATGAGGAGGAAAAAGCAGCAGCATGGCTCCAACACAATAGCAATCCCTGGCAATTTGGGGCCTTGCTCCTAAAGCCACCATTATCAAGAGCAAGGTCTCAAAGACATAGGATCACTTACAAACTGCCTTAAATAAATACAGAAAATGCTGAGAATACAAATGTTTGATAGCATCCACTTCCCCAAGAATCCACATCTGTTAATATTAAAAATGTAACTCAGCAGGCAACCACTTTTCAGGAACATTATTTGACTGCCTTGAATTTTGTTGAGGTTGATTTTAATTCTGCAAGTCTTATACATAAACTGCATGTTTTAAACACCAGCACTGGCTTTAATTTTTTCCTTCATTGCCTTATGTTCATGTGTCTGGGCAGAAATCCTTGACCTTCTTACAAATCATGAGAGGATTAAAGAGAATGTTATTCTGGGCATCACCCTTCGATAAAACGGTAAGTCAGGGTAGAGGCAGTTGAACTTTTCTCTGCAATAATGCCATGAATCCTTTCATTTGGTCTGTATGTATGCTCATACTAAAGGGCAAAGGCAAGAAATGTAACTTTTTTCTATATTTTTTCTATATTTCTATTTTTCAGAATAGAAATGAGTAAAAAATATAACTTTTATCTGTTTTTAACTGAACTTTATTTTTATTTCATGTTACTATTCCAACTAGAGGTAAGAATTTACTTCCAATCAATGTCGCATAATCTCTGTCAATTCAGTCTCTCACCACCACAACACCTCATAATTGTCCCAATCTCCAGCATTGCATCTACATTCCTGGGGGTTCACAAAATGCCAAGCTATAAGACAGGACTACTAATCACTAATTACAACCATCTATTATGCTTGCATTTGCTAAAATGGCTGTGTTCCCCTCAAGTCATCACTGTCATTAGTTTGTGCAATTATTGCTCACAAGATGAGCTGGTGCTCGCTCATCTTCTTCCAGGCTGTCCCTGGGTTCCCCTTGTGCTGGATGAAAGGAAATTCTACAAGGCTTTCTGCCTAAATTCCCATTGAACATGTTTTACTGTTCACTTGCCATGATGGACAAGCATGCTGCCTCCTACAGTCTCTTTAGGGGACTGTGAGACACAGGTATTATTTTTTTCTTGGATCTCAACAACTACTTGCAGGTTCTATTTTCCAGTGTCCTGAACTTCCCTTGTCTGGGGCCTGGGCCCAGGGCCTTATTTTGGGAATGCAAACTGGTATCTGAGCATAGACATCAATCAGTCCCATTTTGCTGTCCCAGCCTAGAAAATATTTATCTCCCTGAACCAGAAAAGCTGGTTCCTCCATCACGCTGCATTCATCCAATCAACCCTTTCTAGCATGAACATTATATCCTTGGTCTTTTAGCATTTAGTGATTTGAAACTGGAATGCCAAGGCTCTTGGTATTGCAAAATTTTGGCTTTTGAAACTAAAATTTATTTTCTGCTTAGTATTCCTCCTGTAAGGCAATGGATACTTAACTGTCTGATTTGAAAGACCAGAGGACAAAAATAAAGTACTGGAATAAAAAAACACACCAGATGATACATTAAAATAATACTCCAACTTATATTTTGCATAAGGTTACTAAACCACTAACACTAACATTTATTGAACATTTATTATGTACTAGACACTGTTCTTAGCACTTGAGACAAAGTATTTCATCCAATATTTCATATAAATCTATATAGGAAGCACTATTATTATCATCATTTTCAAAATAAAGAATATGAGGCAGAGAGAAGTTAAGTAACTTGCCCAAGGTCACACAGCTATGAAGTGACAGATAAGGGGTTTAAGCCCATGCAGTCTGGTTTCAGAGTTCATAACCATAATTACCATACCATCTCGCCTCCTCTATGTATAAAGTTTTGTTGGTTTAAAAATTTTGACATGGCTGGGCGTGGTGGCTCACGCCTGTAATGCCAGCACTTTCGGAGGTCAAGGCAGGTGGATCATGAGGTCAGGAGATGGAGACCGTCCTGGCTAACACACTGAAACCCCGTCTCTACTAAAAATACAAAAAATTAGCCGGGTGTGGTGGCGGGTGCCTGTAGTCCCAGCTACTCAGGAGTCTGAGGCAGGAGAATGGCGTGAACCCAGGAGGTGGAGGTTGCAGTGAGCAGAGATCACATCACTGCACTTCACTTCAGCCTGAGCGACAGAGTGAGACTCCGTCTCAAAAAAAAAAAAATTGACACATCATCACAAAAGTACGTTGTTATTGCTGTGACTAAATCATTGTTGTGATGAATGACCAAAGATATTCACACAGCAGTCCCTGCTTCATTGCCCTGCAACAATATGTTAAATTCAATTTTGAAGCTGTATTTAAAAAGCATTTAAACAGGTGTCCACAGAGCCAAGGAATCTCTGAAAGCCTTTGAGTCATTGTCTAGAAGCTCTGCTAGTAATAAAGCATGACCCCATCCGTCATTACCTGCAGCTCAGCACCTACAAACATGCTATCCAATCTCATGTCACTGTACTTTCCATCTTGCACACCAAGCTCCACTTCACCATTCTTTCAATAAGTTGAAATTACCAAGCTATTTCCTACATTAGTTCTTTTATCTTTTCTTCTGCCTAAGATGCTGTCAGTTGAATACAAAAATGAACGAATGATGAATAATTAAATTTATGAGTAACATCAAATTAATCATCATTTTACCCAAAAACAGCTACTCTTTTGGACTTTTATCTCCCAGGCACTCAAGTCATCCAGGATGCCTCATTTTTCCCCTACCTAGATATGTAATTAGTCACTATGCACATTAGATTCTCGCATGTGAAGTGTCTGTTCCTTGCTACCCATGTGAAGTGTCTGTTCCTTACCACCCTAGTCTCAGCTCATAACACTGGGTGTTTTGTGCAGTAGTCTTGTCTTCTATTGCAACTGAACTTTTGCCAATGTAGTTGGCCCACTGTATCTGTGGGTTGTGTATCCATGGATTCAGGTAACCACAGATGGAAAATATATTTTTTAAAAAAGCATCTGCACTGAACATATACAGATTCTTGTCATTATTGCCTAAATAATACAGCATAATAATTATTTATATAGAATCTATATTGTATTAGGAATTATAAATAATTAAGAGATGAGTTTATAAATATGGGAAGATATGCATAGGTTATATGCAAATATTACAGTATTTCATATAAGGGACTTGCACCATCCACCAATTGGTATCTGTGAGGGTCTTGGAACAAAGCCCCCATGGATACCAAGGGACAACTGTACTTCTTTCATTTATTTTATTATTAGTCATCTCTATTGAGTCTGACTTCATGCCAGGCACTATGGTAGGTGCTTTGGAGACAATGGTGGATAAGGCAGATATAGTCCCTAACTTAGTTTACTATCCAGCTAATGTATTTACACACTATCAACAGATTAATTTTCCTTAAATTCCTCTTTGCACAAGATGTCATCCTCTTCTACAGTTCCTAGCTATCTAGAGAAAATTGTTCAAAGTTCTTAGCCTATTTTCATTCTTGCAATTTCATTTCCATTGCCTTCCTATGTATCCCCTCCCTGCCAGCTAGCCTTTTCTACTTCTAAATGCACCACGCAATTTCCCGCCTTGGTATTTTTGCTTGAGCCATTCCTCCTACATGAAATGTCTTCCCCCTCACTTGTATTTATGTAAGGTCTTACTTTTATGAGCCTGATTACAGTCATCTTGCTATACAGATCCTCCTCTTCTGAAGCACTTTCTGTTTAGGTCTTTTGGAACTTTTAGTGCTCCAAAAAAATTCATGCCTCTTCCTCCAGGGCCAAAGGGGTCCTATCTCCCTTTGTCCCCCATGCCACAGCTTCCAGATCTTGTCTGAACACACCCATCTGCTTTCCAGTTTGAGAGAAGACAACTACTTCCCAAATAGACCCACCATATACCCTACACCCTGAGACCCTGCTTCCAGCATGCTTACTACCTGCCAACACCCCTCACCCGCCGCCACTCTCCCAGCTATCAATCTTTCATTCTCTCTTGTCAGTGAAAAAAATATATAATACTAAAGCAGACTTGACAATTTTGAAACTACTATTCTTTCTCAGACTGAGTTAAATTCCTGAGGTTGGGACATTGGCTGCTTGTTTCACTAGAAACAGTCTCTTATTTGGCTCTGTGTATTCTTTCGTGGTATTTAGCAGTATGATCACAGTCTTCCATAAAGTGGTAGTCTCTCTGCGCCAGTCTCATTGGCCCCAAGAACCTCAATATCTACTGAATCCTGTTGCCTTAGTAGGATGTCCTGACCACTTTTTCCTTAATAAACCCATCATGGGCATCCCTTTCTCAAGTTATGTGTTCTTATTGGCTCCTGTTTAGCCCCATCTGTTGCTATTATAATTTGAAGCTTATTTCTAGACTATTGGACCATAATCACTTAAATGATCTTGCTTTAGAGTCAGGATGATTGTTAAAGGGTGGTATTCCACCTGTGGGAATCCCATCCCCTCATTCTCAGTGTTTGCCTTAACTAAGCCCTGTTTTTGCCATTCCTTTTAGATACAATGACTTCCCTGCTGGAGTTCATTTTCCTTAACACTCCAAGCTGTGTCTCTCTGTTTGCCTTTCAATTTCTCTGGGATTTTTATTGTCTTGTGATAGCCTTCTTCCTGTGGGCTCAGGAGCAGCGGGTGGGGGAACAGAGTTCTCAAGGATCTAAATATCTCCTCCTTTACCTACCACAAGGATTTCTCTTCCTTTTCCTGTCCAACGGGCGCCACTCAATTCTAATATCCTCCTACTCAATGGATTTGTTAATTTTAATTCTGGTCAATCATGCCCTTTTCTTTCCTTATGAAACAGCCATGACCTAAACTTAATGAGGGAAATTTCAAAAGGAAGTACCAAACCAATTCCAAATAACAAGTGTTTCACAAACATTAATCTTATATAATAAGCTTCATTTTTCCTCTAGCAAGAGAAGTTACTAACCAAGTCCCTTCATAGGTAGGGGTAGAAAATTACCTGGTAATCATTAATGGTGATCTTTCCTAGGAGTGGAGCTATAAGGAGAGGGCCCCCAATTGTCCTGGTCAGGGTCTGTGGTTGGAGATCAATCAGATGATAAAAATTGGAGCCAATATTGTCTCAGCTCTCTTGGGGACAACTTGTACCCTGGAGGTGGTTGTGTGTGTTGAGCACCAGAGCTGTCATCGTCTGGGTGAAGAGCCAGCATCATGTTAGGGACTGGCATGCTGGAAAAGCGCTCATCTTCAGCACCCACTCTAATTGCCAGAGACAGGGAGTCTCCATCACTATCGTGTTCCTGTGATGGATCTTTCAGGATAGATGTCTTAGAAGGAATGATGTCTCACCTCCCCATGGCCTATCCCAACTGCTACCACATACCTGAGCGTCTTCTTGTCTTCAGCTAGAGAGAACCAGTCACTTAGACTCTCATCCTAGACCCCATGCAGTGGCATCATAGTACACAGTGATACTGATCTTTGTGACGTAAGTTGCTTTTTCTTTACATCTCTAAGGCTACAGAGAATTCAAGATTATATCATCTGAAGGTGCCATTAGGCCAAATTATTCTTTGCAGATAGATTTTATTATTCGATACCCAAGCATACCATAAGCATGCTATGCCTTCCTTGTGACTTCTCTTCCTGTCTTCACAGGTCTAAGACTAATAACATAGTTACTGCTCTTTGAGAAATCCAAGATGATTCAGCTTCCTGAACACATACTCACAGTCTACAAAGACCTGCTCACCCTGCCCATTCACTGCTGGGCATTATACTCACAAAGGCTTTGGTTTGAAATGAGCAGAGATAACTCAATAATTTTCTCAGTATTACTGAGACTGTTCCATCCTATATAATTATCTAGGAAAGTCAGAAAAAATCAGGCCAAATGTTTCCTCAGGCTCCATTGCCAGTGCCCACCCAACACATTTTGTTTTATTTTCAGCTAAGGCAATTGTGGAGACAGATACTGGCATTCCAATTCTATGTGATATTTTTTTCAACCATTAGGCTTCTCTCTGACGTGGAAATCCAGGCTCTAGCAGAGGCCATGATGAAGAATGCAGAATGCACAAGTTCTCATAGAGAAAATCTGTGTTTTAGGACGAGAGAGAAAGCAGACACATACCAAACCACATGTCGTGGACTGGGAGCCAGCAATGTTAAGAAACAAAAACACAGTGATTGAGGCAAAGGAAATCAGAAGGAAAGCCTTACTCTTAAATAGATACGTATTTTTATTTTACAGTATTTTTTTCTTGAGTCCATGCAGAATAACTGAAAAGATGACCAATCTGAAAACAACAGTGTTTATATATTTACAGGGAGGTGACCTGGGCTAAAACAAATACTAGATTTGTGAGCAAAACAAATCATTTTACCTCTCTGAGACTCCGGAAGAGTAACAGTACCAATCTAATGGTTAAAAAGACTAAATGAAGCAGTATATAAAGCTCCTAGAATACTGCCAGTACAAATAAGCACTAAATAAATGTTGTTCTTATCTCAGAGTTATTATGAGAATTAGGCAATTAAAGCACTTAGTATAGAGCCTAGGTTATAGTAAACGCCAATACGTGTTAGATAGCCAAAAAATATTAATCGATCAAATAACATAGTGGGAACTACAGTCCCGAAAACAAAGAAGCCCACTTATAACCCTTGCCATGCAGTCGAGGGTTCACAAAAACCTGCGTCTTACCAGACAGCTGCCCACCTGGCAGCTACATTACCCCTATTCATGCCTCTTCCTCAGCAAGTTTCTATGTCCAAATCCACATGACCCCACATGTAGTCACAAGGACTTGGAAATATTAGCCTTTCCGCCTGTTTATGTCTAAAACCAGGTAATAATTCATTTTTAGAAGGATAGTTATAAAGAAGATTAACAGCATCTAGCTTGCAGTAGAGCATAGCTCACAGACCACCATTCTCCTTTGTTAAGAAAGACAGTGAAATCATTGGCTATGTGGTCTTGCCAACAAACCATACATGAAAAAATTGTCTTGAGGCATTCATTGTATTTGGATTTTTATACCAATACCATTGTATTTGGATTTCATATACCAATAGGGTATATGAAAACCTTCTCCGTTTTTTGTCTTGTAAGCTGGTTCCGAATAAACAAAATGTCTGTTTCTCTAGATACCCGGGGTTAACCCTTCAAAGCATCGTGATCACAGAGCATTTCAGCTCTCTCAAGTGTAGCTTCAGCTTTAACGGGTCCTTCATGGCTTCCCCCAGGCAAGGGCTAGGAGGGAGAAAGGGGCTAACAAAGAGACGCTGGAGCTCTCCCGGAGAGAGCGAGCCTGGAAATCTGTATCTCCGCCGCGGCTTTTGGTGCCAACATGGAACCAATACAGCATTTCTCATTCCCTTTTGGGGGCAGTTGAAAATAGGCTGTGCCTCCCCAGCTTTGGGAGCTGGAGCCAGTGAGCCGAGCCGAGCCCCCCGGAGGATGCGCCAGCCTTGCCAGCGCGATCAAGAGCCCCCGGAGCCCCGGCCTGGCGCATCTTTTTTTTCAGGGAATTGGAATGGAGAATCCGGGCGCCAGCAGCGGCCTGTAAACCACCCTTTGAGGCAAAATCCGCTAATCAGCAAGGTAAAGCGCTTAGAGAAAAGCGCTGCCATCAACACCACTGATAAAGTCCCCGGACCGGACTGTGGCGAGAGCCGAAGCTCCGCGCCTTCCACTCGCCGCCCGCCCCAGGGCCACCGGCTCGACATCATCCACCCTGCGCCCTCCTTCCCAAGCCCCGGTCCCGCTCACCAGCCTCTCCATCCTCGCTCCTGGAGGCGCACGCGAGGTGGCTGACTGCGGATGTGCGCCTGGAGCTCTGCTTGGGAGGCGGGAGGAGCGTCACCTGTGCCCCGCCGCACCTCCCGCCTCTTCCTCCTCTCTAGCCCCTCTTCCACTGGCTTTCCCCCACGCCCTCACAGGAGCGGAGGCTGAATTAAGTGGTTTATATTCAGCGTTGCCTATTTTCACACATTTTTCCCTTTTCAAAGGTGACCACTGGGGAAACTGAGAAAGTGTTTGGAAAAAAAAAAATTTTTTTTCCTGTTACCTGGACTGAGAAAGGAAATGAGGTGGGAGGTTGTGAGATCAATTGATGAACTGTTAGCTCTTGATGTAATGGCAGAGGATTCAAGCTGAATTTAACCAATGGACTTTCTTTTTCTTTTTTTTTTTTTAAGAAAAAACTTACATTCATTATTTTAAAATCCAGATTCAAATTATATATTTAAGCAATCAATTCCGTAATGATTTCACCTTTCGTGATGTGATCAATTCCTTGGTGAAGAGTTTCCTTCCACTTGCATTAATGATGAGGATTCTTTTTTATCTTCCCCTTCTCCTTCTCCTTCTCCTTCTCCTTCTCCTTCTCCTTCTTCTTCTTCTCCTCCTCCTTCTTCTTCTTCCAGAGTTCTTGGCTCTTGAAAAAAAAAAAGGACAAAGAAAGCATCAAATGTTCACCTCCTGAAGCCTTTTGTTTTACTACTACCACCCTCTCATAAGGAGCTAGGACAAAGCTTTGGGGTTTTGTTTTTGCTTCTTTTTACAGACAAAGTCTCACTCTGTTGTCCAAGCTGGAATGCAGTGGTGTGCGATCATAACTCACTCCTGGGCTCAAGGGATCCTCTCACTTCAGCCTCTAAGGAGCTAGAATGATAGATGTGCAGCCACTATGCCCAGTTTTTTTTTTTTTTTTTTTTTTCTTCCGGACATGGGGTGTTGTGTTGCCCAGGCTGGCCTGAAATTCCTAGTCTCAGATGATCCTTCTACCTCCACCTCCCAAAGCAGTGGGATTACAGGCATGAACCACTGCACCTGACCTATTCTCCTACTTCTAATACCATAGACTAGGCTCACCTGATTTTGAATTTTATATGAAAGGCATCATAGCATATGTCTTCACTTGTGTCTGGGTTTTTTACTCAACAGTAGATTTAAAAAATCCATCCATGTTATTGCCTGTAGTGTGGCTTATTCATTCTCATTGATGTATAGTATCCTATTCTATAAATACTGTATATTACAATTTATTTATCTATTCTTCTATTAATGAACATTTCTTTGTTTTTCAAATTAGAGGCATTTTTCACAGTGGTGCTATAAACATTCTTATACATGTCTTTTCATAAGCATATGTATATCATTCTATTACATGTATTTTTCCCATATATTTTCCTATCACTTTATTTTTAACCTTCCTCTATTAGAGAAATATTAACTGCACACTTGGAAAAAAACTTCTCCCACCTTGGTCTCCCAAAGTACTGGGATTACAGGTGTGAGTCACTGCACCCAGACTTAACCTATTTGTGTGTTGTAATTATTGATATAATAGGACTTTTAAATTGTTTATATTTCATTTTAGTATATTTTCTTCTGTCTTATCTTTCATTAGGCTAAATATTCTTTTGCTACATTAAGAGTTATATTTTATTATTCTGCTGTTTTCTCCTAACTTACTAAGGACAATACATATGTATTTTTTAAGTCAATTTCTCAAATTTCCCAACACGTATACCTTAGCATAATTCTCCTCACCTCTCGTAATCTTATTTTCTAATTTTTAAAATAAAATCTTACATTTATTATTTTAAAATCCAGATTCAAATTATGTAGTTAAGCAATCAATTTCATAACGGTTGAGGACAGGAGTTCAAGATCATACTGGGCAACATTGTGAGATCCCTGTCTCTACCAAAAAATAAAAATAAATTACCTGGACATGGTGACACATGCTTGTAGTCTCAGCTAATCAGGAGGCTGAGATGGGAGGATTGCTTAAGCTCAGGAGGTTGAGGCTGAAGTGAGCCATGATCAAGACACTGCACTCTAGCCTGGGTGATGCAGTGAAACCCTATTTCAAAAAAAAAAAACCAAAAGCTTAAAAACAACATTTTTAGGTTAAAAGAGACTTGGGACACAGAAAGGTGAACAAAAGGAGAAAAACTCCCAGCCATAATGAAGCATAAACATTGTATTAAAGAAATTTGCTTACATAATTTAAAATTATTGGACAGATTTAAAGGAGCACTTAGAATTAATATATCACCTTAACTATACCAGATGTCAATATTGAGTAAAAGAAGCAAACAAGGAACACAACAAAATGAGGAGAATACAATAAAACTAAAGGCAGAAATCAATAAAAAGGAACACAAATAGAATACATATAAATTTTTTTCTAGAGATTAATTGATCAACCTGGTGGCATGTAACACTCAGAAAATTATTTCTGTAATACAGAGTAACAACATAGAATGAAAAGGGAAAACTAATACTGATGCAACAAATAGCAAAAATAACAAAACAATATTGTGAACAGTCATATGAAAACTTATACAAAACGAATAAATTTCTGAAAGTGGCAAATTGGCCACAAAACTTTAACACTTAAATAGGCCAATAACTTAGTAAGCAAGTAAATCCAAATCAAAGACTTGCTTTGCAAAATAAATAAATAAATAAATAAATAAATAAATAAATAACAGACCTGCAGGATTGTTGAGGAATAGATCTGTCTTATTCATGTCCAAAAGGGAGAACTATAAAATTACTGAGATCTTTCTTTGAGGCTACAGTTATTTTAATTTTAAAGCCAGGAAAGGATAATACAAGAAAATAAAATTATAGCCTTCTTTTACTTATAAATATAAAGCAGAACAATTTCCAAAATGGCTTATCATTAGAAAACTGTCAATATAATTTATCATATTAGTAAATTGCTATGAAAAATTCATGATTATCTCAACAAGTACCAATAAATTATTTCTTAAGTTCAACAACATATTTATCATAAAATCAAAGAAGATAGGAATAAGAAAATATTTCCTAACCTTGATAATATGCTTAGCGGTCATACTGCAGCAAATATCATATTTAACTGTAAGGAAATTTTAGACATGGTCTTTTAAATCGGAAACAGGAAAAAGATGACTGTTATTGCAGGTATTAAATATAAAAAGAGGTGTTGATTGGAAAGAAAGAAGCAAAACTGTCATTAGTTGTAAGAAAGATAATCAACTTCATGAAAAACAATCAAAATCAACAGAAAAACTTAAATACAGAGTTTAGCACAGTTTCCAAATATTGGTTAACTTAAAAAATCTGAAAATGTTCCTAAACAACTAATAACCAGCTAGAAATGTTTTTAAATATCATTAATTATAGTGAACAAATTAAAAGTACCTAAGAATTAACCTAGCAAAAATTGCACCTACGTTGAGAAAATTGTAAAACCTTCCTAAAAGACATTTAGAAAGACTTGAATAAATGGATAATATATTTGTGGCTGAAAGAAATTTCACTATAAAGACATCAGTGCCCCAAACTCAAACTTATTAACAATTTATAGTTTGACTTAACATTGTTAAATCCATCCACTTTTTATCCATAAAAAGTGGACTTTTGGTTTTCCCTTAAAGACTTCTGTTCCCCTAATGGTATAACTGAAAAATGTAACAGACTGATGCCAAACAGGAAGAAGTAATCAATATCTAGTATGTAAAGAATTTAAGATATAAAAAATTTCTGGCCGGGTGCAGAGGCTCACCCTTGTAATTCCAGCACTTTGGGAGGCCGAGGCAGAAGGATCATTTGAGGTCAGGAGTTTGAAAGCAGCTTAGCCAACATGGTGAAACCCCGTCTCTACTAAAAGTACAAAAAATTGTCAGGGCGCAGTGGCTCACGCCTGTAATCCCAGCACTTTGGGAGGCCGAGGCAGGTGGATCACCTGAGGTCAGGAGTTTGAGACCAGCCTGGAAACATGACGTAATCCCTTCTCTACTAAAAAATAACAAAAATTAGCTGGGCGTGGTGGCGGGTGCCTGTAATACTAGCGACTTGGGAAGCTGAGGCAGGAGAATCACTTGAACCCAGGAGGCAGAGGTTGCAGTGAGCCGAGATCACACCTTTGCACTCCAGCCTGGGCAACAAGAGTGAAACTCCATCTCAAAAAAAAGAAAATGCAAAAAATTAGCCAGTCGTGGTGGTGGGCGCCTGTAATCCCAGCTACTTAGGAGGCTAAGGCAGGAGAATCGCTTGAGCCCCAGCAGCGGAGGTTGCAGTGAGCAGAGATCGTGCCATTGCACTTCAGCTCTGGGTGACAGAGCAAGACTCTGTCTCAAAAAAAAAAAAAAAAAAAAAAAAAAAATTTGCAAATATAAACAGCCAACCAGACACTACTTGAAAATGTAGACAAGAACCTTACAGAAGGGGAAACTTGAATGGCTAACAAATATATGAATACATACTCATACTTATTAATAATCTGAAAAAATGCAAATCAAAACCATCATTCAATTGGTGATGTTGGGAGGGGATCTGAATCAGGGAATGAATAGAAATATTCAAAGACATTAATATTAATACAACCTCATTGGAAACCAGTAATTCATGAAATTGGATTATATATTTAACCAAATCATTGTTTTCATTTATTTCTAAAATAATTGTTGCTACCAAATGCAGGTTTTAATTTGGAAGGTTAAATCTTAAATTTGAAGTGTGCAAAATAACAGTAACAAATTCACAAACCTGCCAGTTACCTGTATGTGAGAAGAGAATGGCTCTTACGTTCTCCATGTGAGGCTGTCTCAAATGAGGTATTGGTTCACACATTCTGTGACCTAGAGATATAGCGACATTAATATACCCATAAGAGGAATACAGCCCAAACACTCCCCCTCATGGCAGTGCATTGTAAGAGTATGCTATGAGTAAAACATTTGGAGATTCAGATTCAAATTCTCTTGAGATTGACCAAAGTATATTTTCTTTTTTTTTTTTTTTTTTTGGAGACGGAGTCTCGCTCTGTCGCCCAGGCTGGAGTGCAGTGGCCGGATCTCAGCTCACTGCAAGCTCCGCCTCCCGGGTCTACGCCATTCTCCTGCCTCAGCCTCCTGAGTAGCTGGGACTACAGGCGCCCGCCACCTCGCCCGGCTAGTTTTTTGTATTTTTTAGTAGAGACGGGGTTTCACTGTGTTAGCCAGGATGGTCTCGATCTCCTGACCTC